GTGTTATTTTGACTTGTCTACAGACCTTAACAAGTAAAGTTCAGGGGCAACTGTTTATACAGTAACAGAGAACTAAGACATGTAGTTAAAGCCAACTAACCTATGTCACCAAACTTCACTCTTCATTTAGTATTCAATGTCTAGAAGCCCATCTTCCTCCTCTTACCTGGTTCCCAGGCTCACTAAGCTCTTGCTCCAGATCTTCCACCACAGCCACTTTCTAGATGGTGCTCCTGCACCCAGGCCTGTAGCTCCTCAGGTAGAATGATCAGGAGCTGTTCTAGCACCAGCAGCTCTAGAATAGCTCCTTGGTGTGAATCTCTAGTCTCCGCCACTGATGACAGAGTTCTTGGAGCCTGCCTAGAGCTTCTCAAGGACCAGGAATCTCTTGGAAACAAAATTGCCTTAAAAAGTCCGTGTGAGGCCTCCTGGCCAGAAAAGCTGTTCACTGGAAGGTAGGTTTCTTGATCCCAGAGAGGATCTTCTTCCACCTTCACAATCTTAAGTTCATCCTGTTCCTCTGTTGAAGCCATTCTGGAACTAATTTAGAAGACTCACACCAACTTGGGGTAAAAAAGAAAAATCTGTGATTTAAGATTTAATCTTCTTTTTAAATTTTTTTGGTAGTTGTAAACAATAACTTTATTTTATTTATTTATTTATTTTTATATGGTGCTGAGGATCCAACCCAGAGCCTTGCACATGTGAGGTGAGCGCTCTACTGCTGAGCCATAACCCCAGAACTTTGATTTAATCTTCTTAAGGAGGATATACCTAATGATAGAACATTATGTATTAACAGAAAATAAAACAATAAGAAATGCAAAGTATTAAAATAAATGAATAGAATACTATCATTTATGTTAATAAACAGTATATTAGGTATTTAGTTTGTTTAGAAACCGGAAAAAGAGTATGGCAGAATACATCAATGGCCTCAAGTCTTCACCCTTCTCTGTAGTCTATACTTAGTAGTGCCCTCCCATTGTGACTCTGGGCTCAACTATATGACTTTGACTAATGTGATATTAGCAAATGTGACACAAACAGAAGCTCTAAAAGCTTAAAAAGGTTTTCTTACTCTTACCCTCTGAAATCTCCATGCCCAGGCTAGCCTTCAGATAATAAGAGGCATATAAGGCAAGTCATTCCACTGGAGCAGCTAACAAACAGGTGACATGTGAGTGTGCCTAGTCTGAGATCTGTAAGGCTGTTTATATTGTTTGATTGTTTTACCATACTTAATGAAAGAGATCACATAGAACCATACAACCAAGCAAACAATGTAAGTAAAAGTAACAAAGAGTCTAAAGACAGGGTGGGAATTCAGGTGGTTAAAGCACAAAATGTTCAGTGTGAGAAAAAAAATGTGTGACAAGAGAAAAAGATGCATTATATTAGAATTTAAAAACATTTTCAATTCTAGAATAAAATGTTTATATTTTATTATATGAAAACTGAGGGAAAGTTAATGTGGTGAGCCGTTCCTGCAGACTGTGGTTGCCATTACATGATGGCGCTGGCTCCGTTGTTGTCTGTGAAGGACAACTCCATATCAAAGAGAGTTGGCGTGTTCCCAGCTCCTTATCAGAGAAAGTTGGCGTGTCATTTTCTAGCACCCTGTGAGAAGGGTACACGTGG